GGCACCGGATACTGGTACCCATCCCTATTGCCAAGCATCATTGTAACACCTGTTGTCTGTGAATGGGCTTTTAGGGTTGACAGTATGGCCAAGGCAAAGAGCTTGCTTCCTAGTAAGTTCTTCATATTTACTCTGCTCTATTTGCTGTCTATTTGTGTCTGCATGTGCATATTTACCACAATGTTGCATCAGTGAAGCACGCAGTCAGAGTGGCCTTGCATCCTAACAGACCAGCACATAGTTATGTACCATGAACGTGACATGAATAAAAGTGCAGTTTGCTATTAATGAAAAAAGGATGTCTTTGTGTTAATGCGTTTTCATTTTTCAAAAGAGACTGTTGCCATGTTGTACATGTTTCATGATGTTCACTGAGTTATTTTAAGGTAGTGATGTCAGTGCAGTCAGGCAGCACTGCAGCTACAGCAAGGAGCTGTGCAGTGACTTAGAGACTTATAGTTGTTTCACATCTTATTGAATCAAAAAATAATAAACAAACTAGAACTCAAAGAATCGTTTTTAATTCGTTTTGGTCAGGCTAAAAGAATTAGCATTAAATTAAAGACTAATTAATGTTCACAGCTTGACTCTGGATTTACTTAGTATTGAAACCAGCTCTACAGAGAAAAAACTTTGATCTGCAGATGGTCCTTTTTCACAGATATGTGTTAATTGAGCTGTTAGATAAATTATGGGTAAGACAGTCTATTCCATGTAAATGAAGACCAAAAAGAAGTGAATTACAATAATCAATCTGGGAAGTAACAAGGCTATGGACAAGAATGGCAGCGGCATGTGGGGTGAGAAAAGGACGGAGACGATTAATGTTGCGTAATTGAAAATATGTAGACCGAGTAACATTATTAATGTATGAATTGAAAGATAAAGTACTGTCGAGGATGACATCATCATCATCGTCTTCGTTTCAAACTTTTCACAAAGGAAGAAACGAAGACCGGTGAGTTATCAATAGCAATAGAGAAACTGTTGGTTCTGGATAATGTTGATTTAGTGCCGACCAAGTGGAGCTCGGATTTATTACTATTGAGTTTGAGAAAATTAGAAGAGAACCATGAATTTAGTTCAGCTAAGCAGAGGGTGAGGGAGGAGGGGGGAAGAGCAGAATCAGGTTTAGTGGACAGATAAAGCTGGGTGTCATCGGCATAACAGTGAAAATGGATATTGTATTTACGGAAAATGTGTCCAAGCGGTAGAAGGTAGATAATGAAAAGAAGGGGGCCCGAGGACAGATCCCTGGGGCACGCCAGCGGTCAGAGGAAAGGGCTGAGAAGTAAAGGATTTGAGTTGAATGAACTGAGTGCGATCAGACAGGTATGATTTAAACCAGGCTAGTGGAGTATGGGAGAGACCGATGGAGGCTA